ACCACCATCACAGCCTTTATAATGTATTTTGCAAATAAATACTTTAGTAATTTTTTGTACTTATCAACTGATTACAACACTACAACATATATAAGAAACCTTCGCAAAAACAAACTTACATACAGTACAATTATATACAATAAAGCAACAAAGTCACTGCCCATTGTTTTTCATTAATAAAATTGTAGTTTTACCTGGCTCAGTGGGGAAGCTATTGAGGGCCCATCACAGGCTACATACGTCAAGCTAAAGTGTTGGACTCTGTTCTGTGTTTGCCCACATTTAATTATCAGACGGCTGCACTTTCAAACTTTGCCCCTGTTTTACAGGTTTGTGCAGCTCAGAAGGCTTTAAATTGTGATATGCGGGGTGTGACAGTAAGGCTGATCCACAGTACAGAGTACATCTTGTGTCATTTGTAGGCAGTGGTTTCACCTCAAGTGCACAAAGTCATCTGATCGTTTAATTGTTGCTTGTACCGACTACCACAAATGTCTAATGTGTTCAAGCTGAATCAGTAAATGTGGCATTTTGACTGGGAATGAACACTTTGCGGCACAATGTGGGTTGAGAAATCTTCAGGTCATTCAAGGTCCTTTTTTGATATTCAGTTCAATTCAATTTATTTGTATAGCACGTTCTCACATTATTACATTGTCTCAAAGCGCTTTACAGCATCCCCACCCAAAGCCCCCAGTGTGCAAGCCAGAGGTGACAGTGGCAAAGGAAAAACTCCCTAGAAGGAAGAAACCTTAGGAGGAACTGGACTCAGAGGGGGAGCCCATCCTCCTGGGGCTGGCAGGGAAAGTCAAAGTCCCAATTCACATTTGCCCAGTCTTAACATTAGAGACACAAAGCAGGGGGCAGGAAGGTGATGACAGACAAGTGCTGGAGCTGCTTCAGATGGCAGGATCAACAGTGGGACGGCAACAGGGCATACAGGGAAGGCATCACAGGCAGAAGGGCGTACAGGGAAGGCATCACAGGCAGAAGGGCATACAGGGAAGGCATCACAGGCAGAAGGGCGTACAGGGAAGGCATCACAGGCAGGAGGGCGTACAGGGAAGGCATGACAGGCAGGAGGGCGTACAGGGAAGGCATGACAGGCAGGAGGGCGTACAGCGAAGGCATGACAGGCAGGAGGGCGTACAGGGAAGGCATGACAGGCCGGAAGGGCGTCGCAGGTACTGGAGACGTCACAGGTAGTGGGGTAGGCAGGATATCTTGAATATTTGATTGACGCAGTGACTGACTACTCGGGAAACAGTATGCTACATAAAGTGTAGTTAAAAAAAACATCACAATCGGTCTATTCCAAATAATTTCAAAGTAACATAAATATAGAACCATACCTACCAAAGAACCCACAAACTTCTTAAATCCTAAATCTTAAATAGTGCGACAACATTCACTCCTTCTGCCTACTAAATAACTGCTTATCCAGCACGTTAGTTTCCAGGGGGTGTCTGCTACATTAGGCCCCTCCTATGCAGGCGAACAATAACTAATTAACCTTATTTAACTTAATTAACCTTAATTAACTAAAAGAGGACGGTGATTGGATGGAGGTCCATTGGAAGTCCAAGGGGTTTCCTACATAGAGGTTCCTGTAGTCAGAAGTTTGTCTGCTAATAATAATTAAAAAAACTAAATATTTGAACACCTTACTGTCCATTACATTTATTTATTATTGTCTTTTTTTAATGCTTTCTTTTGTCTTACAGCGGGCGTCAATGGAAAAGGCTTAATGTGAGATATAGTGCATATTCCTAATATTTTGGTTTTGAAAGAAAAGTTTTTTTGACCAGATATGTCTCTGGGAAATTTGGTGATTATTGGTCACTGTGTTGGTACATTAAACCACATAAAGCTTTTTCACATTAAGCGTTTTANACACCCACAATGTAACCTGATCAGTATGTTTACCTTATAGTATAAATAAACTCTGTCAGGGGCCACACCTTGGAAGCCATCACTGTAACTCACTGTAGAAGGTGTGGCTCCCCTTGTACAAGTGAAACAGCGCGTGTCTCATACTCTGTGGGCCAGCAGCCGGGGGGGGGCTGATCACTCTCTCCGACACACATGCAAACAGGATTATTTATCCCTCTGGAAAACAAACATAGATATTTGTGCCTTCAAAAGCATAAAAATTACCTCAGTTCTGTCCTGTTATTTTGACACACACATTTCTGCTCCTTCACAGACACACATGTACACACATTTCTGCTCCTTCACAGACACACATATACACACATATCTGCTCCTTCACAGACACATATACACACATTTTCATTCCTTCAGTAATATACAGATATCACTAATCCTTCATGCACACACACATACACACACACGCACACCTACAGACACACATCTTCCATCTGTATGCAAACTGTCCATTGACAGTCACAGGACCTACCTCACTCACACACCCACTGGCCTCTTGCAAAATGATATCGGCTACATCAATGCCACATTTTAATAATAGTTTGTTTTAGTTCCAGACTGTTCACTCATCCTGAACAAATATTTCTATTCATCCACACACACACCCTGCTCTCCTCCCATGAAGCTCAGTGCTCTGAGCTGAGCGCCCTCTGCTGCCCACATCTGTTTCTGCTCCCATTCCTTTAATATGAAAGCAATCTGCTTGTGTTGATGTTTCACCTGATATTTCATACCAAACCTTCACATGGTTTTGTTGCCGTTTTTCACACATAAACCTTATGGGTCCTGCAGTGAGTCCTGTATTATAAGGTTGTCTTTCCTAGAGACTGATCAGGAGAGAACAACTCAGGCAGTGAAAGCTGAGCTGCCCCTGTTATCTGACCTGATTAACAAACTTTTGATTTGAGTTTAACACTAAGAGAAATTTACCAGCATGTGATATTAAACAGAGGCTGAGAGAGGCTGTGGGCTCATTCACAGTGAGTATGAACATGAAGAGAAGATAATAGCTGGTATTGGTACAGTATTAGTGCCCAGGACCAGAGCAGAATTCTTACAATGTGAGTCTGTTCACACACACGCTTCTCTCTCCCTGTATGAGGTGGAGTGTGTTTTATTGTCTTTTGTTTTCTTCTGCTAGGGGAGCTTCTCTTTCTCTCTCCTGCTGCCTCCTGGTCTTTCACATTTATTTCAGGAGCCTTTGAATCTGTTTACAGTGTGATGCTGATGTATGATATTATTTTGCTCGTCATGTTGCTCTCTGAGGCATCCATGTGGAGAATATGACCATATAAAAATGTATATGACCATATAAAAATGAACATGAATGATTTAAACAAATTCCTCTAAAATCTTTTTGTCCAAATAAGTAACAAATGCTACATAAGAAAATTACAATAAGATAGAAATTAGTTATATATTTCAAAGCCTATATTTCATACCCAAATAAGGGTTCACTCTTACTCTCACTCTTACACCCTTAAAAGAGCCACTTCCACACCACTAAAGACACACAGCTTGTGACAGGGCACTCAGGCTGTCACTCAGTACAAGCCTGCGCCAAGCGGCCGTGACGGGGACGTCACACTGCCTGAGGACCTGAACAAGTTCTACACACGGTCTGATACGCTGAACAAAGAGCCTGTGAGGAAAGCCAGGCCTCCCACCACCGACCAGGTTATCTGTCTGCCTACAGCTGATGTGAGGAGAACTTTGACCAAAGTCAACTCACAGAAGACTGCTAGACTAGACAACATTCCTGTTCGCGTGCTCTGAGACTGTGCTGATCAGCTGGCCGAGGTCTTCACAGACATCTTCAGCACATCACTGAGCCAGATGATCATCCCAACGTGCTTCAAGTCCACCACCATCATCCCAGTGCCAAAGAAATCTTCAGTGACCTGCCTGAACGACTACCGCCCTGTCGCACTAACCCCCGTCATCATGAAGTGCTTTGAGAGACTCGTCATGGCGCACATTAAAAACAGCCTCCCCCACTCACTGGACCTGCTACAGTTTGCATATCAATCAAACAGGCCGACTGAATATGCCATATCCTCTGCCCTTCACCTCTCCCTATCTCCCCTGGAGAAGAGAGACACTTATGTTAGAATGCTGTTCATAGACTTCAGCTCAGCATTCAACACCATCATCTACCAAAGGCTGATCAAGAAACTGAACGAGCTGGGACTGAGCACCTCTCTGTGTAACTGGATCCTGGACGTTCTGTCAGAGAGGCCTCTGTCTGTCCATATTGGCAACAACATTTCCAGCACCATCAGACTGAGCACAGGCGTGCCACAGGGGTGTGTTCTCAGTCCACTACTGCTCACTCTGCTGACCCACGACTGCACTGCCAAACCACATCATCAAGTTTGCTGATGACACGACTGTGGTGGGGCTCATCAGCCACAACGACGAATCAGCATACAGATATGAGGTTCAGCAGCTGGCTGTCTGGTGCTGTGAGAACAACCTGTCACTGAATGTGGGCAAGATGAAGGAAATGATTGTCGATTTCAGGAGGAATCACTTTGCCCACAAGCCACTCAGCATCAATGGCTCCCCGGTAGAGACAGTAAAGAACACCAAGTTTCTGGGAGTACACATCTCAGACGACCTCAACTGGACCAGCAACATCGCCTCCATCATCACAAAGGCTCAGCAACGTCTTCATTTCCTGAGACGACTGAAGCGGGCCAACCTACCTCCCCTCATTCTCACCGTGTTCTACAGGGACACCATAGAGAGCGTCCTGACCAGCTGCATCTCTGTCTGGTTCGGCAGTGCCAGTGCTGCTGACAGAAAGAGCCTGCAGAGGATTGTCAAAGCGGCTGGTAACATCATTGGAACGTCTCCCCCCTCACTGCAGGAGATCTTCCATAAGCGGTGTATTAGAAAGGCCTCCTGCAGGACTCCTCCTACCCCTCACATGGACTCTTCATGCTGCTCCCATCTGGCAGATGATACCCCAGCATCAAAGCCTGATCAACCAGACTGCGAGAGAGCTTTTTCCCACATGCCATCAGACTCATTAACATGCTGCCTGTTCTCCCACTCCCAGCCAACACACCTGAACTGTGAATGTGACTCTACCTTACTTGCACTTATGCACTTTATACACATCACAATGCACAAAACACATCCATGCCAAACTGCATTTGCAAAATGCCTAGGTACTGTATTTTCTTCTGTCAGAATATTCATATTTATATTGAAACCTCTGCTATTCAGTTGCACTATAATGCATGCATAACTACATTTCAGCATTGCAATTACAATTTTTCTACTTGTCTGCCAGTGTAATATTTGCACATTCTGAATACCTCCTATAACTAAATTGAACATTCTTTACTTCCCCTGTGAGAACTGGAGCCACATTGTCTCATCTCACTCTATACATGTATATTGCTGAGATGACAATAAAATTCACTTTGACTTTGTTGGGAATGACTGAAAACAAAGGAAGAAAAATGGAGTTCCAGTTCTGGACAAGCCTTCAAACTAGCCAATGGACAGCTTTACACAGCCCTTGGCAAAGTTGATTGGACCTGTCAGGTGTACAGACAAATGTACCCCCTTTCATTATACATCATGAATGACCAAGATCTCCATATAATACCTGGGCTTGACTTTCTTTTTTAGTCGGGTCTGACTTAATTTTAGCCAAGCCTCCTATAATCTACCTCTTACTGGAGGGAGCGACTCTTATCCTTTTCCTGTCCAGCATGA